CATGAATGTTGATCTGCATTTAAAACACCCGGTAAAAGAGTCGCAAGATAACGTGCGTCATTACTACGACGCAACCCCTACGGCATTGGTCCTGCCTTTTGTTCACACAGGGCTCGTTCCGAGACTGACCCTGGCAATGTTACTAGGTCCCCATCCCGGGATCAATCCCAGGATGCATTTGTGTTCATGTTTGCGTTTGTGGCGCTTTTGTAATACTTTACAATAAGATTCATTTTGTTTCATTAGATAGGTATTATGAACTACATTTGAAACATCATATATTCTAAGGTTAATGTTTAATGTTTATCATTCTTGTTTAATCATGAAATGTATTATCAATGTAATATTAACTTAACTGGAAATCTGAACATATTAATATATTTGGAAATTAACATTAACTAAGAGTAATAAAAGCTGTATTTGTCATTGTTAGTTCAAATGAAAAATTATGTCATCGTTTACTCTTGTGTTCAGATGAAAAATCATACAGGTTTGGAACAACATGACGGTCCCCCCATATTGATGTATGACAACCATTGCTTGTTTTATATATAACTTTTTATTAACAGAAACTAATTGTGTTAATTAATTCTCATTCTGTATGTTTTTCAATAAAAATGAGGGGAAAAAAGAAATAAGATTTCAGTTTTTGGAGAATACCTTTTGGAGCAACAAATTACTATAGATTCTTACATGTTATAATGTTAATGTAACATTAATATAAACAGCAAAAGCACAAAGACCCTTTCTGGCAAATGCATTTCTCATTTCTTCCTTGCCTTGTTTTCAGGTTCTATCAGTGAATGCCTGGGCTTTGTAATGGGGGGCAGGTTGTTGCCATGGTGCATTAGCAAACACTCTGAAAGGTGTTGATGTAGTGCATCTTTAATGCATAATGTTTATCCAAAGTAGTGTTGCCCAGAGATAAGACGCACTCCTACACATACCCAATATTTGGAGGTTGGAGTATTTGTGCGTACATGTGTGTGGGTGTTATCCCATAATTCTTTTAACTACGCATTAAACACCCCTGCATCCACCCACCCAAGCACTGAAAGTACCACAGAGAAAGAAAGTTGAACGTGAGATTATTTGCCAGAATGCCAAAAGACTATTTCTCGACACTCCGATCCTATTAGCAGTTGTCGCACTGAAATTAAACCCTGACCGTCCACAAAAACAAAACCTGGCTCAGAGAGCTTATCATAGAGAGGATTTGTGCTTGCATGCCCATATTTATGAAAATGCTATCATGTGGAAGAGGGTTTTGTTGTGAGCAGTGTGTGTGTAGTACAATTTTTATGTGTGTCCTAATTCAAAGACTGGAAACCAAAATGTTTACATTGTGTAACAAGGTTTGTGTGCATGGCGTGTGAGCTCATGTGCAATGTGCTTGTGTGAGTTGACAGCAGACAGAAGTAGGAAGTGAGAGAGAGAGAGGATGCTTCATCATAACATTATCATCTCGCATCTATGGGAGAGTTGAGCACAGGTCACAGGTAATGCATGTGGGTGTAAGCGTGTGAAGAGGTGTGTGTGGATCACACATGCCACCTCACATGCTGCATGGCTCTAAGAGCAAAAACCAACAAAAACAGACCAAACTGCATCACGTTGTGAGCAGGCCTGTGCTGCCTAAAACTGTAGTGCAACCTATTAGAGAACACAGAATGGATCTGTTTAGTTGTGTGACCCACTGATGTGCATTGCAGACCATATATGTTCAAACTGATGCACATGGTTTAAACTATTTTGTGCCGAAATGCATTACAATAGATTCTACTGCACGATTCAGCTGGTTAACTCACTCACTTTTAGGGTATTTTCACTAGGTATGCAACAATATTCCAGTAAAAACAGGAATATTATGAAATAGTTTTACAATAAAAAAGAACTATAATTGAATCTCCAGTCTTCAGTATAGATTCTTCAGCAATCATTCTAGTATACTGATTTGATGCATAACAAACCTTTATTATTGATGTTGAAAACAGCTTAAAATTGAATTGCTTAAGATTTTTGTGGAAACAGTAAAACATTTCTTTCAGGATTATTTAATGAATGAACATGTCAAAAGAGCAGCATTTCTTTGAAATATAGATCTTCTGTAACATTATAAATGCCTTAGCTCTCACTTTTGATCAATTTAAGGCACCCTTGGTGAAAAAAAGAATTCATTTCTTCCTTAAGTCTTACAAATCTTACTGATCCCAAACTTTTAAAGGTAGTGTTATCCCGGTTTGTCCAAATACACACAAAACATAAAATCAGTCATTTAGCTACAGATAAAAATACAGATACCACAACATTATATTGTACAGTATGACAATGGATATTCATTTTGAGATTTGCTAAATATTACGCTTAACAGTGTTATTAAATTATTAGTGTTTTTAAAGATGAACTTAAGGATAGAGAAAAATTAGCATGCACAATTAAACATACTACTGCATACCACTGTGTAATTAAAACAGCTATTTAACTTTGTGCTTTCACTTCCAGTTGTGTTGGAATTTTATAGAAACTCCTCCTGAAATAATGACTCAAATCAAAAACACCCTAGTTCCCCAGTACACTTTTGCTACATATCAGACATTTCTTTTAATTTTGACACTTCATTATATACAGTGTTGATGTATATGGTGAAGACTGAAGCGACATAAACAGGGCATCTCTACCCAAAGGACAGAGAGCTCAAGGCCATAAAAACAAAACAAAAAACACTACACACTGGGTTTATTAGCATTGAAAAATACCTAACACTAGCTGTGAAACTCTGTTACATTTTCTTCCTGTGAAATGGGAGAGAGTGCAACAAAGACAGTGTGTTACAGGACAACATGTCCCAGCTTGAAATATCTTGAGTGTGTAGAAAAGAAAAAAAAACACTGACAACTTCTGAGGAATCTAAGGCTACTGTGGGGAGAAATATGAGTTAAAATCAGCTGTGGAGCAGGCACAGAACACCTGAATGGGTCGTAATCAACTCCTACTGAAGTCTCAAGTCTTCTTAGGGCCCTTTGAATTACATCTAAAATAACCATAAGGTCGACAATGCAGAGATGAGTAAATATATCTTGTGGTAACTTTATTCATGGTAAGGATGACTTCATCTGTGTCAGCTGTTGACACCATGAGCAGCTAAAATGGTCACTCTTCAGTCACTTAATAACACTTACGTTCCAAATATCACAATGGAATGGATGTGTAATTTTCTGCATTAAAGTACTTCAGAAGACCATTTAACAATGCTAGGAATTTGCCATTTCCATGGTCTGCCCTTTCCTGTTTCCTATTTTAGCTGCTCTCCCGCCTCCAAGCTGAGAGGAGTGCGGAGGAATTCACGGGGAACGGAAGCAGATCTCCTGCTCACTGAACATTCCGAACTGTCATCTTGGCTTTTCCCGCAGCCGTTCATTATGACGACTACTGGACCGAATCTTTTCAGTGAGTGAATCATTCTTGTTCATTACCATCCACTGACTCGTTAAAGGCACAATATGTAAGATTTTTTTATTAAAATATCCAAAAACCACTAGAACAGTGTTATATATTTTGCCGACTTGTGTACTTACATTATCCCAAATGTTTCAAAGAATGTTTAAATCCAGAAAATAAGCAATTTTAACTAGTGACACAGACCGCGTCCATAGTGTCATTGTCTCGCCAGCGAATGACGTCATAACCCCTCGATTTCCGGTTTTGTTTCGAAGAAAACATGGAAACACCAAAGACGCTTTAATATGTTGTGCGTTTTAATAGACCGGTGACGACTGCACAGAGTAGCATTATAACAGAACTTTCAAATGTATCTAGTATGATAAAACAGTGCTGCTTTTTTCCCCACATACTCACGACCGGAAGGAGCGGAAGCGGTCGACTGTGGCATAATAAAAGCTCCGCTGCTTTCGAGCCGTGCGTCATGCTCGTTCAGCGGCCTCGTTTCGCTTTGAAGGCTTTCAGCCTCACCCTGCTTCATTCTACTACATTAATAAATCATTAGCTCAACCATGAACATGATTTCTGCCCGAGTCCCGTCGGATTGCATCGGCTACAACTCCCATGATTCCACACTCGATGCATGGACTCCAGGCGCGGGGTTTAAACACGTCCATTATAAAGGATTCGGTGCTTTGGTCAAATTGGTTAAGTGAACGATTCAGTGGCTCATTCACCACACACTGATGTACAGAAACACTCATTGGTGTATGCACAGAACAATCTACTGAATTAATAATTTTGCTTAAGAGATTCAAAAGAGTCACACGCCTCATGTCTCAAGTTGTCATTACCATAAGTGCACACAAAAGCAGCAAATCATTCTTTTCAGTTCGGGACATTTTGATAGAAAGTGTTTCCTCATGAGAGTGTCCTTAATGACAACATCATTAGGTTGCAAGTTAATTATTCACGTTGTGCAATAAAGAGCAAAAAAAAAACCTGCAGATCCCATGATCATCAGCCCTCAGAGTTCTGGTTTCAAAACATAACCCACAAATGCATTCATTTTCATTTCATAGGCATTGGTGTGTTCTACTGATTTCCAAAGATGGAAATGAAATTCCCTGTCAAAAGTGTAAGGGGATTTCCATAGTACTCAGTATGTGGACAAGCTGCTCACATAGGAAGTCTTATATGGACAGTCCCACGCATCCTCAAAGCTCCGTGCTGGGCGTTTGTAATGCTTCCGGAGACAACTGAAGTAGCCCACATCTCTTTATCCCGGCCCAGGACACTGTCCCGTCAGCAACAACATGTTCTGTAACATTCAAATGCTGACGCAGACGTTTCATCTGCTTTCTGTTGAGTTACAGGTCTACGGTGAAAGTTTTAAAAAGCCAAAACATATTTAAGTGGTTAAAATGCGACAAAACACATTTTGGGCAGCACTGCCGTTTGAAACTATTCTAAGCGCAATTTAACAGAGCAGGCGCGCGCGCGCGCACACACACACACACACACAACGTGCTAAACATAAATACAGCATCACTTCACTTTACCTGCTTCAACCGTATCCGTTAGGTCGTAATTAGATGCTGTCCGAGGGAATTCTTTCAGTTTTCTTGTGCTGAGGTTCAGAAATCCGGAGTTCGCCGCATCCTCCAGAGCTCTCTCCAAGCCCCGGTTTAGAGGCAGATTCGTGCTGGAGCCCAGTCCGCTCAGGTTCGTCTGTAATGCGGCAGAAGTCAGCTGGGAATGAGGACGGGGCTCCGGTCCCAGCGTCGCCATGTTCGCCCCGTCTGGAAAAAAAAACTCGTCGAAAGGCTCTGCGATCGGTATATCCCAAAGAAAATATGCTGGTCTCAACAGCAGTGGGTGAATTTCCTCCTAGTGCGCTATCTGACTGTCCATAACGCGTCTGCGTCTGCGCATATTGTTTATGGAACTGAGCTCGTGGCCTTTACCATGGCGCTATCTGCTGTACGATAACAGCAACAGCAACAGCAAACTGATGGAGAAGTTGTGCAGAATGTTGTCAGGAACGTTTACTCAACCTTATAAAATATTAAACTCTCACCCTTCGGGAATTCATGGTTGTTATGGTAGCCTATTATGCACACAATAAATGCATGCTCTCTATTTATTCTCATAATTTTTTTTCTAATTATAACTCGTAATTAGAAAAAAGTATGTCTGAAAGTAAATAGACAGTAACATGAGAGTAAAATAGTAAGATAGGCTATATGTAATAAAAAAAATATTTTACTATAGCACACAAATTATAAGCCTATGTGCTACAATAAAATAATAGTTAATTGAGTATATTAATCTTTCTTTTTTGATAGCGTCAGATTCCAAACAAATGTTTAGTCATAAACGTTTAATTACAATTAACGTTTATATGAATTGGATAGATTTGAGGAGACCAATGCCATTCTGAAAGTGTTTGTACCATTCTGAACATTCTGAAAGTGTTTGTTAAAAATAATAATTTATTATGATCAAGGTTTCAAATATATGTCTGACTTTGTGTGATTACAGTAAGTGTGTGTAACGACTTTAATAACTTTTAGATTGGTCATCTAAGCAAGCAAGTTAGACACTGTTCTGCTTCTCTAATCGTACATTGGCTAATATTTACAGACTGAGGAAGTGAAACTGCTGGAGACTTATCAGATCATATCATAAACGAAAGCTACAACTTTTCTTCTAGTTTCTCGAATGAAATATGGTGAGTTTTACTGGTTTTATCTCTTTGCTAGATCAAAAATCACATAATCAAACACATGTCTAAGGAGTCTTTACTCTCAGCTGTCTGTCAGGATCATTGTGAAACACACAACCTACATGTTGTTGCAGTTGTGAATCTTAAAGGGATAGTTCACCCAATAATAGAAAGTTCTGTCATAATTTACTCATCCTTGTGTTGTTCCAAACCTGTATGAATTTTTTTCTTCTGAGGAAAACAGAAGAAGATAGACAAAAAAAATGTGTTTGTTTTTTCTGTCTCCATACAGTGAAAGTCAAAGGGGTTCAGTGTTGTTTTGGACGTAAGAAAGTCATACAGGTTTGGAACAACATACGGGTGAGTATGTGATCATTTCTGGTTGAACTATTTATTTTAGTGATTTGTAGTTCCCATTCAGTCAGTCACGTTCAACGTTACGTCAGTGACTGACGAATTGGGAT